GTGTGTTATTACAGAGAGTTGAGTATTATTTCGTACAGCGGTGTCTGAGCATCTGTGGCTGTTAGCGCAATTCCTTGGAGGATTAATTTTAGGCTTTTTATTGGAGCCGCTAGGGCAATACTGGGGCACTATTGAGACATAATTGGATTGGCATTATGGGGTAACTGAGTGTTTAGGCTAAGTATGAGTGGATACAGATGCTTTATGTGCAGTCTTGTTATTAGGACTAATAGCAGCATCCTATGTGCCTCCGTTTTTGGTAGGGGTAGTGTATGGTGTTTTAGGATTCGTGCAGTGGCAAACGCTGTAACTGCCGCGGCTACGTAGGCTGGGTTGATTACTTTGTATTCCATTGAAGATTCGATGCTGTGTTTAATTGATCGTTTTGTTATTCCTGATGATAGATGCGAACTAGGGTTTGGACTGAAGAATAGCTGTCTAGGTGGGTTAGATACACATCCTAGCCCGGTTGAAACCAAAACAAAGTGATTGGGTAAAATGAAGGTTCTGAAGTTCATTAGAAATTTAAATGCACATTGTTACCTTAACAATCACCAATCACAACAAATAAACGTTATTCTATCCTGTCTGGATAGACCACGCACAGATTCCTTCAAAATATAATATTTGGTTGCTTTATAACACAGAGTGTTTCAAAGTCTGGAAGAGTGCCTCAATTCACAACCAAAATTGCACGATTCCAGTCAATAAAAGCAACACAATCAAAAGTAGGAACAAACCAATACGGCTGACACCAAGACCAAGTATCAAGTGAAACAACATAAAAGCAGTTCAGGAAGAAACATGGAAACTTGGTGAAGGCGTAGGAAAGGTAAAAAACATAATAAAATGTAAATATTACCAACTAAAATGGAATAAAAAACTAACAAAATGTACAACTAAAGGAATCAATATGAACAAACTGCAAGTGTGTACATAAAGGGATTTTCGCACAGAACATTCGAAGTGGATCTTACACTGACCCACAAAATCCCTCCATACAACACAAGCCACTTTCATGTCTGTGGTCATGGTTCATTCTATAACATGTTCTGCACTAGAGGAACGAGCAGGACTTACAACAGTACGCCTACTCGACCTACCTACATTGGTATAACAAGGAACTAATTCGAACTTTCAAGTAGACATGCCTTACGTATATCCCTTCTCACTAATCCATTATTCGTACGAACAGTTACCGTCCTAACCTTCCTGCCGTTATCTATTTCACAACCTTCAACTACTCCTAAGAGCCACCTTCTACTGGTCGATATGTCCGAAGCCAGGATTACTACATCTCCTTTCTGAAAAATGTGATGTCCAGCTAACCATTTTTGACATGTGTGTAGGGACGATAAATATTCTCTTGACCACCTTTTCCGAAACACATTAGCTAGATAATTAACCTGTTTTCAACGTTGGACATATTTATCTTTGGTGCTACCTTCTTCAATCATTCCGTTACATTCCCTCAATAACACCAAGCTATTTGGCGATAAGGCTAGTTTGTCGTTAGGAACGTTGACAACCGGGGTTAGGGGAAATTATTCAATGTTCTCTCAAGTTCGACCAAATAAGTGCCTAAGGTCTCATCAGTTAAAGTCTGTTCTCTGGTGATCAACAATAGCGATCGGCGTATAGACCTAAACATACTTTCCCAAACTCCACTCCTGTGGCTGTGTGAGCGCGGGTTAAAATGCCATTGAATCTGCCTCGCTGAAAATTCATTATTTATCTTCTGCTGATCCAACTGTTGCACAAATCTCCTTAGTTCAGAGACTACACCCACGAAGTTTGACCCATTGTAAATAAGAATTATAATAAAATGCAAAAACTACAAACTCAAATGGAATAAAAAAACTAACAAAATGTATAACTAAAGAAATCAATAGGAACAAACTGCAAATGTAAACATGGAGGAATTTCCACACAAAACGTTCAAAGTGCATTTTACAATTGGTTCAATGCGTGAATCATTTCTTGAAGATCTACATGTTGGCCATTCAGGTGTCGAGAAAATAAAGTCCTTGAAAAGGCTCACATGTTGAGAACCGGCGATAACTGCAGACATATGTCTTACAGTAAACGATTCTGTGAAATATCAAAAGTTGAAAGGTCAGTTTTCAAAGTGAACTCCATGGCCAGTATTGTTTGAGGCCTGACAGAGAATTCATACGGACCATTGCGGTTCATTTCCTTGCAAATGTTATTCACTTGTAGTCATTGATTCTTTTTCGAAATGGCCCGAATTTTTTTCACAACTTCACCAAATTCTGACTTCGCAATCTGAGCACTATGAAAGGTGTTTAGTCGAGAAGGGGTTCCCATAGTGTTAGTCACTGATGATGGCCCTCATTCTGCTGCGGATGCAGTCACTACATGGTTGAATGGTATAGGGTACAGACATCTGTTTACTGCTCCTAATCACCCTTGTTCTAATGGTTAGACAGAAAACTTCGTCAAAACATTGAAAGCTGCTATTGATTCTATTGCTGCCTCAACATTTAATGAACTGGAGAGAGAAGTAGACACATTTCTATTGCAATATCGAGATGTCAAACATACTCTGACGAAAGAGACTCCATCGAAGCTGTTTGGAGTCTGCAGAAGATATATATTATTGTGGAAATGATCTTCGACCAGCCACAGGGATTGTGGTGAAAAATGTTGGGAAATATATAGTGCGAATTCTAGATATTGATGATTTCAGTACACACAACCGATATGTTGATCAAATACAATTCCAGGAACCTTGTGAGTCTGTTCCAATTTCGATTGTTAATTCTAATGTTAATGAGTACATTCTAGATAATACAGAGTCTTTATCCAATGCGCTGTCGGACAGAAATATGACGAACTTAAGGAGAGGATGAACAACCGATTACAGAAACTTTTTATGATGTGGCGGATGTGGTAATTGTATGAACTAATGATTCCTTTGTACTTGATGACTGACTGATTTCGAATTCCAAATACAACACGTACGTTCGTGCTCACTCAGTTCTTCTTGGTGTAAATTGCGTTATTTCTAGGATTCCTAGCTCGTACAATAAATCAAATACTTCCAAATATCACAGCTTCTTCGATTGAATAAACGTACTGTTAAGTTGGTTTACATTCTCTTCTCATCAACCCTCTTTTGCGTATTGTTTTATACTACTTATCAATATTCAGTAAACAGTTGTGTTCCTAGCAATTTCTGCGTGCATGTTGTAACGCAGGTTGGTCGTGTAATATTCTAAAATATTTGCATATACTTATAACACTTATTGTACATGCCACTATAATTACATTCTCCATATCCCTGTAGCAGTTACTAATGCCTTTATATAGTCGTTTGATTTTTGTTTAGACACAAAGATTCCCATATTTGTTTGTTTTGGTTCCTTTCTTCTTGTTGATACACTGTTATCAAGATTAGACAAAGCTCTCAACTGTCATTTGCATTGTTGTATGTCATAATTATTCTTTAGGTTATGATTTCTAAAAGCCTTCTTTCTTTCAGACGCGTTAAGTGCCACAGATACCTGATGAGTCAAATTTTGTAACTGATTTCTGTCTATATTCCTCAATAAAGAACCGCATTTTAGACAATTTTCTGTTTTATGAACCCTGGTTTCGCGCGCATACTGATCGTAAGTGGCGTGTTGAGCAAGTTAGTTTTGTTTTATCAAATCTGTGCCACAGCACTTCATATATTTTGGTGTCCTGAATTCCCGGCCGTTGCTGCTACCTTGAGGTGGTGGTCGAACGTGCCAGTTGTGATGAACCAATTGAGCTATTCTGGCCGGAAAAAGACAATACTCTTATTTGCTCTCAGCTCAGACGCTTAGAACGATGGGCGAAACACTTTAGAGAACAGTTTAGCTGTCCTTCAGCTACTACACAACTACCCACCATTCCCAGAAAGCCTGTATGAAACAATTACACACTTGATTCGTATTGCTAGTATAACATTGTCACCTGCGTTCGTGGAGTTCACAAACCAAAAATGAACAAAACTGATCTAATATGTGTAGTTATTATATGGCCTGTACCTCGTCCAATAAAATAGAAGACTAAAACCGAAGCACGATGTATTTACAAACAGTAGTAATAATTTAATTTAGATAATGAATGTGATAAATAATGAATCATACAATTAATACATATAGCTAAAGGTTATTCAATACCAGTATATCTATAATGTCAAAGAGACGCAAAATGGTGGAGCGCTTTATTAAGATTATAAAAATGATCGAATTTTTCTGCCATTAGATACCTAATAAGTTCTGTTTTCAAAGATTTAAACAAGTCTTTACTAAAGGTTCTATTATGTTTGTTAAGTTTATTCAGCATTATTGCAAAGTGATCATATTCATTCATAAAATACCAGTTTGTTTGTACTTCTACCTTTGTCGATTTATTAGGTTTTTCTTATATATCTTATAAAGGACTATTAACTTTCAGAAGCGGATTTTAACTACAAACCATAAAGATTGAGGAAACATTTAGATACATCTTAACATTGAATGAGTATTTTAAATGTTTAGATCTATGTTCACCAATAAAGTATAGAGTGATTAATTCACTATTAAATCAATAAACTCTCGAGTAATTGTATCACTTTTCCTTCATTTTTGACTCACGAAATAGTTTTAGAGACGTTAGTAACCAAAAACTGGAAATTTCACGAATCACCAATTTGTTTAACACAAAACATAAATTTCACGAATATAAGAGATTAACAACTGAGCAAATAAACATATTATTAAGGTTTATGTTAACAGTTAATGTCATTAATGTGATTTAATCAATCTGTGAGGATGGTCCACGGATAAACTCGAGAAAGCTCTAAGAAGCTCAGAAAGAGCCGGAGATATTCCATACAATCATCTTTGAGAAGACTATTCCAGAATCCTTACGTGTAGCTTCCCTATTGAACAAATGCTAATAAGTCCTTGTATGCGGATTGGAGGACTATAATGATGATTTCGTTTTTGCTAAAAATTATTAATACCTGACAGTTTTGTACCATAAATGACACTGTTTGGAATAGCATTCCTTTCACTCGTCTTCTGTCTTCTCATTTACGACTTAGTGGGTTCTAGCGCCCGAGTTGCTCAAGTTATACACGATATATTAAAAATCTAAGCTCTAGATACAACACAATCAAGCTGATGATAATTTCAAGATTACATTCACTGTTCTATGCAGCGAAATCTATGAATCCTTAGGTGACTCAAGGAAATTTTATTATGAAAGTGTTGAATGCTATACATATATATCGCTAAATAAGCAAAATAACTGGTAATTTGCATGTTTCCAAAGCTTTATCCACCATACCTCTCAAGTTTTCTTAAATTCTACTGTGTAAAAATGAAGACTGTTTACTATAATACATCAGTTTCTCTGTATTATTTTAATTCTTCAAAAATTGCAAAATATGATTACAGAATGACACTTCACATCTTTGATCTTAACATGAAATGTATTTACGTAAAGACCTATTTTTGTTGTATGCTATTAATGTAACAGGTCTTTTTGAAGAATGTTTCGTCAAACATCTGAATCTTGAGAATTTTCGTAATTCAATTTACACATGTTTTCTAATATTAGTATCGTTATTGAAAAAACGAACCAAAGACAACTAAACATCGGGTTAATTCTCATTTTGAACCACTCATTGGTTGGCTGATACAACTCAAAAGCAAGCGAGAATTCACAGTATTCAAGTTAAGCAGGTTATATGATACCACCAGAATAGATTAGGTAGAATTCATTGGCTCACATTTTCGACTCCATACAATGCTGTCATGAAATAAGTCATGAATTGAGAAATTGACAGATACATAACGCTATCCATATGTAGATCAAAATATACACTACAAATCGACCATGAGCAGTGGCTGATCTCACCCTCTAAACCATCATTTATTTTGAGCCTCATTATATACAATAAATCACATGAGCAGAACAATATAGACAATAGCACTGAGAAAGAAATGAAAACGAATTTACATAAGGGATACCAAATATGAATGATTGGTCATGCAGTGTTCCAACAAAAATATTCTAAATATTGTGAGCCAGTAGTTCATAGACTCATTTAGTGAATCTTTAGTGTATATGGTCCTGTGAACAATAGAGTTGTGAGTAAAAGCTCACGTTGAAATTCGGACTGAGTTGATTAGTTCTCATTTCTGCCAGAACCTTTTCCATGATGTAGTTCTCTGTACAGTCATAAGCGATCGGTTCAAAATTTTCACTAAATTTGTTGGCAAAAAGTTCCATTCGCTTTGGAATACTCGGAAGAATGGAAATACCAATAAGACATATACCATTTCTAACTTTTCCACGTCTACATGGTCTATGGGCCCACTTTACAAAACGTCCTATGTACATCGCTCGTATATCAAAGTCACTTGTGAGGTATTTTTCTTTGCAAGCACCAGGAGCTCCAAGTAATGGATTGTAATTCAATGTAGAGAAAAATAACTCATCTGGATGCTTCGGTAAATGTTTTTCTGCTTTCATTGCGTCAAGTAATTCGTTTGCTTTTGGGTCATTCTGATAGAACTCAACAAAATCGCGCCTTAACGCTACGTAAAAGCTTCCTTTACTCCAAACGATCTAAAAATTATTAGATATATTACTGACATCTGATGAATAACTTCATTTATTAGGAAACAATTAAAGCGAAGAAAAAGCCATTTAATGTTACATCTTATCCCTTCAATTTTAGCAGGACACTAAATTGTGAAAACACTTTTATTACAACTAATATTTTAGTGGATATTACTCATCAATATCTAACTGAATCACCAAGTGCCTAAATCAATTCGATATTGTTAGCATTGAAAATCTTGACTATTGACTCACACAGTGGAAAGAATGAAAATATTAATAACTGTGTCAGTGGTAGTGTGGTGTGTGCTACTTATGTAGGCACAAGTAATGCATGATGTTAGTCGTGAACAGAATGTCTGGCAGCAGAGAAACAAGAAGATCGAACAGTTAAGAATGAAGACAGAATGCAATTTGTATGAAAATGCAAGAACAGTGAAGTCTGAGTCATTTTGAGACAATTGATGGACATTTTGCAAATTGAGCATTTAATATATAGTTGTTAAATTTTATTAACAATTTCTGTGATTTGTTTTCGATTGTACCCCACCCGTGTTCTGTTCACTACACATTTCATTTATTACCTGGTAGATTGCACAGTGCTGACGCAAATATTTTGGTATTACAACTAACATTTTAGTGGATATTACTCATTAATATTTAACTGAATCACTAAATATCTAAATCAACTCAACATTGTTAGCATTGAGAACCCTGATTATTGATTCACACGGTGGAAAGAATGATATTATCAATAACTTTTAATGGTAGCATAAAATTATCTACACATTTCATTTTTTATCTGGTAGATTCCACCGTGCTGACGCCAACAATGAAACACTGACTTCATACTATGTGTCAACCTTCTGACAATACACTAAGGCATATAAAAGTAAATTTCTTAAAATTCTCTTCCTCCCTTTTACATTAATAAGAAATAAAATAAACAGTTTTTTATACAGATACAGATACTGTTTAGTGGAATGTGTTATTTGCCAAAAGGAAAGCTAGTTACTCAATCAAACCAAGCATTACATTTTCAATTATAACATGTTAAATCACACTATCACTAATGTAATCTTATTTAAAGCAAGATTTAGAATTCTGGTTCACTTTTCAAACGTTGGCATTTGTCTTTCTTTATACATTATTTCTGAGTTACTTAATAGGCTTTACATGATATAAACTGGTCACTGTTTAGTCCCAGTGAACTAATTTCGAACCTCATCATCTATCCTTGACTACTGTATGTTCCCACAAAACGTTTCGGTTAAAGCGTTTGGTCAAATCTTCTAATGTTTAAATACTGTAATTCATTTAACTCACAAAATGTCAGTACAAAACATCTCATCCGATTTCATTTTTATTTACATATCCGAAGCGGTAAACTGGTCTCATGCAGTAAATTTCATTGGAATTACGATGTCAAGATTAATCATGACTAGGCAGTTCATAAATACTATAATAAGTTATGATATACATAGCAAAGACAACAAAATTTACCGGGAAAGTGAGATTCTTATTCGGCCAACGTTCTGGATTATGCCCAGGTCCCAAATTTTCAACTATATTTGACCCATTCATTGCTTTCAACAAGGCAACCAATTCCCAATTGGTGCGAAGTGGTAGTTCTTGACCACTCACATTCAGAATATACCTCCAAATAATCTCACTGTTGTTTACCAACTTCTCTGCACATAGAAGAAACATTTCCAGTATGGAATAATATCCCCACTGAACATCCACACTTTCCGATCGATTCACCACCATCACATTCGAACCAAAACACCTAGCCAACTCCATCACTTCATCATAAAAAAATTGTGGTGATTTGGAATCCACATGAATACAGTACAAATTATGTGATCTGTAAATCAAACGAAGGAGACGAGCTGCCTGTTTAATATTCCCATGAACAGCTAAACTGAATGCAAGAGGGAATTGTTTTTCTTCCACTGTCGACTGTACGACTTCACCACGAAATAACTTGAATTGATTGCATGTATGAGAGTTCGTCAAATTTGAGTAGTCCGCATTTGATGGTGATTGAATATTTCTTACCACATTGTACTCTAGCCAACTCAGATCCTTTGAGAATAAGTATTGACATATGTGATTATTTACCAGACTCAATTCCTCAAACATATATTCGTAATAAGCTGCATATGATATGTAATATGTAACTGTAAGCGATGTGATGAGTAATGAAATGGAACTGATCCAAACTAGTTTACGTCTCAGATTGTTTGTGTAGTAGGTTGCAATATTTCTTATGCATACTTTCTTTTTAATTGAGTTATTTAAGGACCAGTATTTCATGTTAGTTCACTTCTACTAAGTAAATGCGTTAGTAGGAGCGATAAATCATAATTGTCTGACAACTCATATTTAATTGGCTGCTATTTACCTAGGTAAAATTAAAAGACATTAGTGCATTAAAACAAAGTACTTTATCTGTACCCTTCTATTTTTGATAAAAAAGATAAAAAGTCATCTATCCGTTTGTTGTATTCGAGATTAGTGATGCGTTCGACACAATCTCCTTCTAAATATATTAACATAAGCAGGATGATGTTGTTTTTCAGACCCGAATTTAGGATGGTGCTTTGAAGACAATAGCCTGAGACGTTTACCTTAAGCTTCGTCCGGTATGCTAATGTGGGTGTCCGAATGATTCAACTGAAGTTTTGGACACCACTTTATCAAATATTGGGTTACTAGGGTTGATGGATCTGTAAGAAAATCTGTTGCCATGACAATTCTGTTCATTATTGGATTGCAAACTAGCCGGTTATAGTCTATGGGTTGTTCTTACTCCACTCATTGAATAAAAGGGGTAATACTAGGCCCAAGGTTATCCTCGGGTAAACTGTTCGTCAAAATCATGGTGCTCATTAATCTATTGTGGGTCAGCGTAAAGAGGCCTAAATTGTCATGCTGAACCCTATATGAAAAGTCTCGAATTTCCAGTACTGTTCAATTAGTTGTTCTCTGAACTCTTTTCGCCGTATCCAAGTCAAGTTTTAGGTGTGGACAAGCGGCATGTACGCAGTTCTTTAGTTTGTATCTTACTAGAGTCATGTACGCCGTGGTGAATATGTTCGTGCCAGAATTGGTGAATATCTGCTTTGACAGCCATAAGATTCCAAGCCCCCTAACTTCACCCAGACGGTAGTGAAAAATAGTCATCAGGTATCGAATAACCATGACAATTAAATTGCCGTGAGTCAAGACGAATTGTGCTGATGTTTCTCCTATGATACGGCTAATGACATCAATATGTTCAGTATCCATGCAGATATGCTCAACCGTACCAGTACACATGTAGGGCGAGTGAATTGTCATGGCCCTTTCCGAATCGTCCGTCAGCCTGGTCAATGAATAGTGGAAGGTTTGCCGATTATCATTAAGGTCAAAACGACAGACGCGCATCAGTTAATCGCACGTCATGGACTGACCTATGTGGTTGTGGTCACACCATATTCCTTGCACTTACTCTTACTAATATTTGTAACGACGGTGTGTGTGTTTTACGCTCATCACAATAGTCACAGTGCCTGAACACGACGAAAGGTTAGTCCACTTTGGGTAATAACCATGAGGTGCGACTTCGGCGTTAGCTGGTTGACGCGCTATTTCTCCTAAACTCAGATAGTCCTCGAATCTTTAGAAACAGATCACTTAGGTTGGTGCTCAGAGGAAACTACTCACAACTTGAGTCAACTTAGCTCAAAGTTGAGGCTGGCTTGTAGACTTTATATACCACCAACCTTTATGTTTCCACTATTCGGAGTAATAGAACATTTGCAAACTGACGATGCCCTGGAGCTGCTCGTAACAGCCCGGTGAGATCCACGTAGCTTTGTGTATATGTTTGTATGGAAATATTGTGCCACCCATGACCAATTTGTCGAATGCACACAGATTCGCAAATCTTTCGCCGTTCTCGTTCCTCTCTCACAGTCCATGCAGTCTCATGATATCTTCATATCCGGTGTTGCCTATTCCGACTTTGGCTTTTAGATCTCCCATCAGAATGGTGAAGTCCTTTCTTGGGCACTTCTCTATGATTGATTGCAGACTCTCATGGAATCGATTTTTAATGTTGTCGTTGCTATCATTTGTGGGTGCATAACATTGGATAATATTCATTGTGATCCCCTCCTTCTCTGTTTTGAATGATGCTTTGATGATTCCGGATCCGTGAGATTCCCATCCTACAAGTGCATTTCGTGCTACTTTGGACAGCATTAGAGCAACTCCCTGAGTGTGTGGAGCATTATCCTCTTTGTTACCGGAGTATAGCAGCATCTCCTCCGTATTAAGCCTTTGTTGTCCAGCTTGGGTTCAATGGGTTTAGCTGATTCCCAGTACTGCCAAGTTGTATCTCCTCATTTCCGTTGCTATTTGATAGGTCTTCCCGGTCTCCCACATTGTCCGGACGTTCCATGTACCTGTAAAAATTGTTGCTCTGATTGTTAGGAGGGGCATCGGCCTTATGGCTTTTGAAACAACTCGGCTTTCACCCTGATGCGTCATATTTTATCTAAATGAAGACCTTCTAACTCCCAGGGCAGAGTTTAAATGGTTTGAGTTGTTTTTCTGGTTAGCGTTTTTTAGCGAATTAGTTTTCTACGGGATGGGGACGCTAACCCAATGCCCAACCCTCCTCCTTTGCCCGGCATGGAAGCGGCAGTAACTCTAGGAGAGCTACAGGCGGAGTTACTCTAACAAGAGATAATACGGATTTAATCTACTTTATTATACCTCTGTCTGTTCTACTACGAGATGTTAGGCGACGTTTGGCGTTCATATCCAAATGCCTTACCGCTCTTCTCTTTCTCTATTTTCTTTCTTCAAAATCTTGCTCTGAGGGCACATCTATGTAACTTCTGACGTTTGTAACAAACTTGAAGTACGCGCATCCTCAAGTTCATAGCTCACAGCAAGCGTTCTACGGGTCTACTTTATAACAACTATAAACTTAGCAAGTTGAGAAGCATGCT